TCTACTCCCAGACCCAAGTCAAGGTTCCGCGCACGCGCGCCCTGCCCGCTCTCACCTCGCGCGAACGCAATAACTCGACCCCGTCCGCTCGCCGCGAGCCCAACCGCTGCCTCTGAACCCGCTGCCGCCGTCGCCGCCGCCGCCGCCGCTGCTGCACACGGGTCTTAGTACGCAGGCGCCGACTCCCCACTGACCAACCAAGCAGCCCTGTGACAGCCGCGCAAGCGTGCTATCTAGCTCCTCCGCCCTCCACCCCCGCACTGCGCAAGCGCAAAGATCCTCCCCAGGCTCCCTCCTCCCTCCCATCTACCCATCCAATGACGTGTATACGTGACTCCGCCCCTCAGAAATCCTGAGTTCAGCCCACTAGTAGGCAACGCGCAGGCGCACCCGGTTTTTTAATCCTTTAACCTCCTCTTCCCTCCCCGTGACAGACCACTAGCCCTACCGGACAGTTCTTGCGCCTGCGCAATAAGGAGCCCTACACTCCGCACCCTCTGAAGGAAACGCCTCGACCACAAAGCGCATGTGTACGGGGAGCTTGACCACCCCTTCCACCTCAGACGTCGTTTGTACGCCGGACGTTGAAAAGACCACGCCACCGTATCGCTAGCCTCGTCTACAACGCATGCGTTGTAGGAAACGCCCCACCACGGCTGTAACTGGACCTAAACGACTCACACGTTTCAGAAAACTTGCCGTGTGGGGTGGGCTCCTTGTCTCAAGACCGCCCCCGCCCCCCCAGCCGGCCTCCGACCCAGTCACACATGCGCAGCGGAGCTCCCTGCGCTCCGGTCTTCCCAGGCGCCAGTGTGGTCGGCTTATCACCCCTCTCAGCTTCAGTTCTGCGCTCCGCTCTGCCATAGAGTTTCATCCGGAAAGATAGAGCGGCCCTGCCGCGGCCACCATCTTGTTTAGACGCTTGATCCGCATTGGTCCCTACGGCTCACGCAGAGGCTGCTCTACCTCTGAATCCTGAATTAGGATACTTATTTGTAATTTCTCTTTCCCCCCACGCCAACTGTTCTCGTTCGTCTCCAAAACAATTCTCTTCGAGCACACTTAGAAAAAAAAATTGTAAGAAAGAATATGTTAAATTCCACTGACGTTCTCATAAGTCATAGAGGATGTCCATGAAGATGGAAACAAGCTGTCTCTTGGGATGCATTAACCCGGCCCTCGTTCTAGAGGGAAAACTGCATTTCCTGAAAACTTCCAGTCTCCCACCTGTTCCTAGGTGTCCAGACCACCTTCACAGCTACTTGGTTGGCTTCAGTAAGCTAGGTGAACAAGACCAGCAATGAAACATCTGGCATTAGAATCCCAAATCCTGAATCTGGTTCTTTTATTTTTAAAAAATATTTTTATTGAACATAATAACTCGACCAAGTTCAGAGAGGAAGGGAGGAGAGAGAGAAACATCAATGATGAGAATTACCAATGGGCTGCCTCCTGCACGCCCCCTACTGGTTTCCAGCCGCACCCAGGCATGTGCCCTTGACTGGAATCCAACTGGGGACCCTTCAGTACACAGGCTGCCGCTCTATCCACTGAGCCAAACCAGCTAGGGCCTGAATCTGGTTCTTGTTTAGGAATCCTGTGACATAGATGTGGGCTGCAAACAGCTTGAATTAATACATTTAGGTAGCACACTAGAGGCCCAGTGCACGAATTCATGCACTAGTAGGGTTCCTCAGCCTGGCCTGTGGGATCACTGGCTCTCCGATATCCCCTGAGGGGGTCCCAGATTGCGAGAGGGCACAGGCTAGGCTGAGGGACACCACTGGGAGGTTGGCCAGCCAGGGAGGGACCATGGAAGGGCTCCAGGGCATGTCCAGCCCATCTAGCTCAGTCCCAATCACCAGACCCCAGCAACAAGCTAACCTACCTATTGGAGCATCTGCCCCCTGGTGGGTCAGTGCACATCATAGCTACTGGTCAACTGGTCTACTTTCTGCCCTCTGGTGGTCAGTGCACATCATTGCGAGTGGTTGAGCAGTCTTAGCATATCATTAGCATATTATGCTTAGATTGGTTGGACAGATGACCCAAAGACCGGACACTTAGCATATTAGTCTTTTATTATATAGGATATAGGATTATACCCCCAGCTCTTTCCACTCAATTTTCTGAAATGCCTGCCCTTTCCTTGGTAAAACAAAACTTTCTGGCCCTAGCCAGTTTGGCTCAGTGGATAGAGCATTGGCCTGCAGACCATTCTGGGTTCTATTCTGGTCAAGGGCATGTACCTTGGTTGCAGAGCCCTGGTCAGGCTCATGGAGGATATTTCTCTCTGTCTCTCCCCCTCCCTTCCACTCTCTCTAAAAATCAATGGGGGGAAAATATCCTCGGGTGAGGATTAACAACATACATGAAACCACAGTAAACTGTTTCTGTGTTTCATGTAAAGATAAATTAAGCCAGCTGATGAAAAGAATTCCCAGAGAGAGAGAAATCAGGCAAGGATTGGGGTTGAGGTGGGGGTTCTCTGTGGTACAAATATTTCACAGTGAACTGATCCTTATCCAGGGACCTGGGCAGGAACTATTTATTCTTCCTTCCACCCTCAAGGGCTTGCATAAAAGTCAAATACATCAAATGGACCTTGAGAATGGTCAAATAGGTAACCCTTTGGAGAAGAACAGGTCTTGAACCTGCTCTCACAACACCCAGCTGCTGGGTTCATAGCAGAAATCTTGACTGCACTCACTTACTCACCCATTCATTCAGTTAATATTTACTGAGTCTATTAAGTACCAGATACTTGGGACACAAAGATGGTGAGCTTAGCAGTATGATCTGTGCCTCACAGTTGGGGGGAAGGAGATTATCAGATAATAAACAAAAATCTAATGTTGGTCTGTGTGCTCAGGCCAGTGCGGGTCTACCACCAGTGAGTGATGGGTTTATAATGAGAGTTGGTAGGAGGAGGAGCACCCTGAAGGATGCCTGAGGGATCTTTGTGATTCTGGCCTTGCCTCTTGGGAAGCTAAAGAAAAGAGGCTGCAGGTGGAAAAGAATGAGACTGGAGTTGTTCTGGGCCTGGAAGAAAAGACCTACCCACCCTCCATGAGATCTTGCTCACCCTGGGTGCTAGACAAGTCAGAACATTTCTTAGAAAATGGACCAAGTGAATAGGAACAAGGCTGGGGACAGAACACAGACGCGGCTCGTAGAGGAAAGAAGCTCAACGAGTCCATCACAAATGACTATAGCATGTTGGCTATGATAATTCATCTGCTCATTCATTCACTCTCCAGGTGGTCTCAGAAGCCTTGCTCTGTGCCATGCTTCATGGCCAATGGGGGAAAGCCAGGCAACTGTAGAGCAGTGTGATGCAGCCCTTTGTAAGGAATGTGGAGTTGAGTGAGCACCAAGATGGGACCAAACCCAGTCTGGAAGACTGGTAGGTCTTTTGGCAGTGGAGACCCAGAGCTGAGGAATCCGAAGGATCAAATCTCAACAGGGTGAGGAAGGACCTGGGAATTCTGTGGATGAGATAAAGAAACTAGCCAGTTTGGCACCAGGAGGTCTAGGTTTGATCCCTGGTTGGGGTACACGCTCGGTTTGAGGGCTTGATCCCCAGTAGGGGGCAGGAAGCAGTCAATGAATGATTCTCTATCATCATTGATGTTTCTCTCTCTCTCTCTCTCTCTCTCTCTTTCCCCTTTCCTCTCTGAAATCAATAAAAATATATTTTAAAAAAGAGAAAGAAACAGCCCAGCTGGTGTAGCTCAGTGGCTGAGCGTCAATCCATGAACCAGGAGGTCAGCTTTCAATTCCTGGTTAGGGCATATGCCCAGGTTTTGGGCTTGATCCCCAGTGGGGGTCCTGTAGGAGTCAGCTGGTTGATGATTCTCTCTCATCACTGATGTTTATATCTCTCCCTTCCTCACTCTGAAATCAATAAAAATATATTTAAAAAAGGAGAAGAAACATCTGGGTATCAACCCATCTTGGCTGGTCTAGAACCGTAAGAATACCTCAAGATGTAAAAGAGGAGATGAGGAGCAGGGGACATCTGTGTTCAGAGAAGAAAGATTCCAAGGGCAGGTTGTGCCTCAGCTGTAGGCCTCCAATCCGAGGGGATACCCTTGCTGCATCTTGTGTGCCTTTCAGAATGGGATCTAGCTTCTCCTCCCGCTGAGGCCATCCCAGTCGCTCCCAGGCCGACCTGGATGGCATCCTTTCTGCCTCATTACCTCTGTGATGACCCCAACCTAGCACTTGTCCTACAGGCAACATGTCCGTCTACCCCTCCAGACTATAAACAGAGTCTTTCCATCCCCAGCACCCACCACAGAGCTGGGCACATGGCCAGTTCTGAGTGTTTACAGAATGAATGAATTGGAGGGAGGAGGCAATCTGAGCAGGAGAAACTGCCAAGAACTCAAAAGGAATTCAGGAAGGAAGAGTGTTGAGTCTTCTTAGCACTTCAGGTAGATGGTCTTCCTGTGCTGGGGGCTCTCCTAGAGGGAGATGAAAGCTCCAATCATTTATGCATCAGTTTGGTAACAAATGATACATAGTACACCCAGTAATTACTATTTTGTTTTAGATGCTTCACATACATAGTCAAAGTAGTCTTCAGATCAAGAGGAAGTCTACTTGAGAAGCCACTACTGGGGAGCCTAATCTATACATGGACCTGATTTAGAGGATGAGGTCTGAAGCTGTCCTGATGACATAATTGAGACTTTGGAGGTCTTGGGAAGGGTGTAGTGCATTTTGCAATGGGAATGAGGTGAAATGTTGGAGAGAGGGCAGACTATGTTACATTGTATTATCCAAAGATTGTCACAATAATATTTCTCATCTCACGTGTTCTTATCTTGTGTGACCTTCCATTCCCCATCAAGAAGTCTGATGGATCTGGGCAGGCTTGTGGTTGCTTTGGCCAAAGCATAGGGTGAAAGTGATGCCATGTGACCTTATAAGGCTGAGTCATGAAGAGTGATGTAGCTTTCACCTTATTGTTTTATTTTTTTAATCCTCACCTGAGGATATTTTTCCATTGATTTTTAGAGAGAGTGGGAAAAACAAAGAGAGATATCCATGTGAGAGAAACACATCGATTGGTTGCCTTCTGCATGCGTCCTCACCAGGGCCCGAGCAGGGAGGAGCCTGCAACTGTTGTACGTGCTCTTGATCGGAATCTAACCAGGGACACTTTGGTCCGCAGGCCAACGCTCTATCCACTGGGCAAAACAGGCTATTACCTTATATATTTTTTTTTACACACTTGC